TTTAAACTGATTATAATTTTATACAGATACATGCCGTAGTTTGCGACAACTCTCGACAAAGATTTTTTTTTTTAAAGTTAAAAAGCTAATTTTAGAATATTTTTCCTATAAATCTTATTATTAACAATGTACTGTTATTTCTAATATATCGATTACATGAAGGGGGAAATTAAACATTGCGTTTAACTTAAAATTTTATAACAATATGGAAAAAAAATAACTGAAATTAGTTTTTACTCAAAAATGAATTTCATATAGATTGATAGGTTATGGATCATTAAGATAACGAAAGAAATATGCCTTACACGAATAATAAATCATGGTGATTAGGAAATTTGTGCTTTAAAATGTAAAAATTTAGTTTTCGAAGATAAAATGCGACGTTGAACTGCATACTCATTCTTTCAAGACCTTTACAAGAGTATAAAAAAGAATATGTGAATAATTTATAGACAACTTTAAAAATCAATAAGTGTCTTCTAACCTTATGATTTAGTTTTTCTAGCTCGATAAGTAAATATTAAATTATTTGTTAACCACTGTGATTGGTTAATGTTAATTTGTTACTTTAAATGTTTATTTTCATCTTATTATTTGTTTCTCCTGTTTGTTATTTTCATGTTAATCTCATTTGGTAGCTCGATAGTTCAATGTTAACTCGTTTATAATTAAATTTTTTTTTTTTAAATTTAAAAAGCGAGAAAATTTGTAAAACAAAACTTACTAAAATAAATTTAAATTTGTTTATCTTTTGTGCGAAACAACACAAACAATTTCTATAGTTACGTCGTAAAAGAAAGGGAAAATTAAGGGTTCAAAAAATGCAGGGATATTAATTTAAAATTAAATAAATAATAATAAATAAATAAAAATTATTAAAAATAATGATAAAAACTAAAACTAAATTAATACTAAATAAATTAAACCTAAAAACAATAAAATAACAATTATTATATACTGTACAGATTTGTTATTCTCTTGTAATAACATGTCTTCATTAAATACAATAAGATTATTATTACTTGTTAATTTTAAATCTGAAATTATTGAATATCTTGCATCTTATTTAAATGACTGAATAGAAAATTAATTTACAAAATAGACTTATTTCCATTAATTATATAAATTCATATTATAACAATAAAAACAAATTTTTTGTTAAGAATTTTGAATTTTTGTCTTCTGTTGATGAAGATATGTTATTCCTACGTATTTAAAAAATTAAATTAAATTGAAAAGTGGGGGAGGGGATGAGTGAGCCGAACAAGAGGGAAGCTATACACTTAAATTATTGTATTTATCATAGTACTTTATCCAATATTAATATGAAAATAAATTTTATTTAAGTTAGTTATTATAGAATTAAGACTAAGGTTTAGTCATACAACAACACATTTATTTATAATTTACTATATATTCTCAAAATTCTCAAACCATCAGGCGCGAAATTTTATGGCGTTTTTATAAGCCCGTCTTTTCTAAAAGTGAATTTTCAGTCTTTTCTTTACTAATTTTCAGTCTTGTTTTAATTATAGAATGCCCATTTTGACTATAGCAACATCATCTTTTTCAGACAAGATTGCTAGAGCTCTGGATGAAATTTGTCTATCTCTTAATAAATTATGCAACTTACCTTACAATCAGAATTCTAGCATTGTTAGGATTAGACTGGCTTTTTCACCATTCGAGCGTATTAAATATTTTGATCGCATGTAATATTACAAATTTTTTAATGGTTTCGTTTATTCCGATTGACTTACTTTGAGAATAACTCTCAGAAATCTACGTCTCTGAACTTGTGTCTTTACTCCTTTCTTTCGGCTGAGCTTATCTCAATAGCCTTTCTTTTATCGTATTTTTCACAATTTAAATAATTTTGACGACGTATTATAAATCTATCTAGTTTTAAACTAAAATGTAAAAAAGCTTTACAATTTATTATTATTATTATAATTTGTATTTTACTTTTTAAACTATGTAGTTTATTTTTCATGCATACTTGTTTGTTTGGGTGGGCCGATATCATTTGTCTTTCGGGACTTTTCCTGTTTTTTGTGAAAATAAATAAATAAATTTGTACTCTAAAATTATCAAACTTTTGTCATTAATCTTTCGAACTGTCATTTTGTCATCAATTTATGGGCCATCTTAAATTGCGATAAATTCTATTAGAAACTATAATTTGAACAATTTGATTTTTTCAGTTCTGGAAGCTAAGCGATAAATATTAAAATTTAATCAATCAATCAATCAATCAATCAAGAACAAATTCAAAATTCTTTCAAAAAGTCAAATCTTTTATTTAAAGAGTTCTTGGTACATTCGTTCCACTTATAGAAACCTACACTCAGAATTTAAGTTGCTATTATAATGGGACAAATTTCCCGAAAACTATTCAAATAAAAGATTTGACTGCTTGAAAGAAGCTTGAATTTGTTCTCGACTGATTAAATACGTTAAAGAATCGTTGTTTCCTTGTTTTAAAGATTAAACTTTAATTAATTTTATTTAAATAATAATAAATCATGGTAAATAATGTTATAAGGAATTTTGTCTTTAAATGTTCTATCAGATGTATATGTATTATAAATTTTTTTTCCTAAAATTATAGCTAACAGTTGTATGTATATTTCAAACGTGTCTTTAATATTTTGACTGTCTACATTTTAAAATTACATTTATAATTTCGCAGTACTAAGTTCAAAATGAATACAAAATGATGTGATAACTTAGTATATTATGAAAATTTAATATGCATAAATCACAATAGAAATTTCTTAAAAACCGCCTTTTTTTAAGTTTATATATTAGAACTCTGAAAGTTGCTATATGTGAAATTCTTATCTTAAATATAATATACATAGTTTTACGCTCCGTTCATCAGACAAAAATCACTTGTATTCAGGTTTTTCAAAACTATATATATAAGATAATCCTATGTGAAAATCTTTTTTCCGTTTTTCATTAAATTATCGATTTACTGGAATATTTGATTCATACTATTATCTAACTTATTATATTGAAAAGAAGAACAAGACAAATATTTATTTCAATAGTCAAAGAAGCCATAAAAAATAAAATAAATTTATATTTGCTAGTTTATGATGATAAAAATTATAACATTAATACACATTCACAAATAACACCGCATCGCAAATGCAATGCACGAAATGACAAAACTCCATGGATATATCCTTTAGAACAGTGTTTTTCAACCTTCTTGAATAAGCGACCGCTTTGCAACTTAAAAACTTCTGGCGACCCCCCAGGGCTATATTAAAACTATATCAGTGATTTTAAAAACTACGTATTTAATTTTCTTTCCGTTGAGACCTAAGTATCGATCGAAAAACCAATTATACTGTAAAATAAACAAATATAGCCTTCTGAAATTGTAGGTTTTTTTTTATTGTAGTGTAGGACCTACAAACACTTGTCTTTTTCTTTTACACGCGACCCCCCCGCGTAAGGCTTTGCGACCCCCCTGGGGTCGCGACCCACAGATTGAAAAACACTGCTTTAGAACAATATCCTTCACACACAAAACAAAAATAAGATTTCTATAAATTAAACTATATTTATATATAATTTATCGATGTAAAATTATAATATATTTTTCAAAAACTTATTAACATCATTTTATGATGACTGAACTTCATATTATTTAAAAATACTAATGTAGGCTAAATTCTGTGACTACTATTTTCAATATTTGTCTTAAATACAAAATATGTAGATATCTGTATACCAAATTTATGTGCACAATATAGAATGTCAATGAATATTATATTAACATGAAATATTGAAAAAACTTCAAGAATATAAAATTTTTCATTATTCTATATGTGCATAAATTTTGATTAGCTATACTATATTTTTTTGAAATTTTTGGTTGTTTATAAAAAGAATATTATATATATAATATATAGCCTATATATAATGGTATTGTTAGAAAAGAAATTTATTTTAACAAGTGTATAAGTCAATTTATTCCTTATCTTTTCAGAAAAATACACAATAAATAACAAACAACTAGGGGAATTGAGGACATTTCCAGCACAAATTAATAACTAGTAATATTTTAAATCCAGTTTAATGGACATGCTTCAGTTGCTTACAATATATTCAAATAAAAAGACAAAAGTATTCAATACATGGGTGATTCAAAATTTAAACAAGAACATAAAATAACTTATAATAAATACTCATTCAACTCCAGATTTTAAAACTGTAGGGGATGGAGTAAATGTAAAACACAAAACTATTTGAATCATGAATGCATTAATTTCCATGATATGGACTGTTATCTACCACCTAGAAATTTTTGTATGGACTGTTATCTACCACCTAGAAATTTTTGTATGGACTGTAATCTTGAAAGTTTGACCCTCATTCTCATTAGTTGTAAGTTTATTTTTAGTCTTATATACTTTGTAAATAATATTGCATATAGTTTTTGTATTTTACTTCATCCTTTATGATTCTAAAATTTTGTAGTTGAACAAATAATTGTTATAAGTTCTTTTATGTTCTTATTTAAATTTTAAATCACTCTTGTATTCAAATGCATTTGTCTTTTAATTTGAATATGAAGTAAGCCATTGAAATAGATCCATCAAACTGGATTAAAAGCCTTCTCAGTTGTTAAAATGTGTTGAAGTTTGATAACGTGTGTTTCTTTTTTTATTTCAGAAAAATACAAAAAATGTATAGAATAAATAAAACCAACATAATAACATAAATTGCTAAAATAATAAATTATTAATTAAATTATGACTGTTTAATAATTGTTAATTGCTTCTCTAATGTTATCTAAGGTTTCTCTGGTATTATTCTATATTGGAATGTTATATATAATTAATAACTGATATTGTATAACTTAAAAGACTACATTATTTATTCATTACATATAAAATAATAATAAAATAATTAATATTTTAAATTTTTATATATTTGAAAATATAAACTAAGAATAATACAGAAATAATTTGGAAACTTACATTAAGCATGGAAATATACCACCGTCAGCAATTATATGCAGTACTAATTAAAAATTTAAATTTTAAACATTCATATTAATAATTAGTGATTTAATGTATAACTGAAAATATTTAACTAGAAAAATATTTATAAACTTTTATACCAAAATTAATAATTGATACTTTGAAAATTGACTAGAAATTAAATATTCACTCTGAAAATTATAGGTGATCTGTTGAAATAAGGTATAAGTAGGTGTGAAGCACCCATACTATTTGTGTTAAACATAGTGAATCAATATTGGTTGCTATAACAACAATAGTCTGATAATTCATTGCACCAGACTCCACCTTCCTCTTCTAGACTATTATTAAAAAGTAGATTTTTATTTAGGTATAATATATTTTCAAGTATATTATTGTTACTATTGAAGATTTCAATTTTTATTCTTGTGTATAATGTATGTAACAGTAACTTATATTAATTAGAGTATAACATTTTTTATGTACAGAAATAATTAAAGCAACAGTGAATAAAAGATGTATGTTATTTAAAATGAAATCAAATTCGTGAATATATTCAATATTATGATGTATAACTTTTGCTTTATCAGTTCAAATATCAATATTCTGAAGCATCCATTTATCAGATCTCTAAACCATATGTTCATTCACTTTGATTTATTTTAACTAATTTATTGTGATTTGTAATAAAACTGTTTCTACTTTATGAAATTGAGCAATACTATAATTTGTAGTTGCATTATTACATTTAAATATAAATATAATTGTCATAAAATCTATAGCAACTCTATAAAAACATAATTCTTATTCAATACTCAATAATTTATAATTTTTATTTCAAGGATAATGTATATTAATTAATATTCTTACATTATCATCATTCTCTTGTAAAATATTGATGTGATATTTAAATAAAATTTCAATAATTTATATATTATCTTCCAACAGAAAAAATTGATTTAAAATATTTGAAAAACTTGAAAATATTTCAAAAAGTTAATTTTTCATGTGTAATATCATCAAATTTGAAATGTTAAGTTTGATACAAATACAGTAGACCCCCCTATAACACTGTAGATAATTCCATGTTGTACGAGTCACTTAGATTTTACAAATACGTATGCTGGGCTGTGAATGGCTCACGTATTTGTAAAATCTAAGTGACTCATACAACATGGAATTCATATAAAACGGAAAAATCANGGCCCCTCATTCCCCAGATTTATATCCAATTGAAAATCTGTGGACCAATTCAAACATGTGCCTTAAATGATTTTCCTAATCCAGCTAGCAGCATTCATGAACTATTGGAAAGAGCTGAGATAGTTTGGAAAAAATAAGATAGCTGTCTAAAATTAACTGACAGCATGCCTCAAAGAATTAGTGAGGTACTGTAGGCTAAAAGTGGCTATACACACCATTAAGTGAAGATTTGAACATTTTTTTTGCCTATTAAAACAGGAACAAAATTATTGTTCACAAAACAAACTACTCACTACACCTCAATAATAATCACATACACAGAACCAATTTACAGTAACACTTGTTTCCAGATTAGAATTAATTGTGAGAAAGAAAACTTTCTGTTTAACAGAAGCAAGATATTATTGCTCTTGTTAAACAAAGATTATCAGTCAGAAATTGCCTCACATATTGGTGTCAAGGTAGGAACTGTGTCTAAAATACATCAAGAGAATATGCTCTATGGCAAAAAACCATTACCTAGTCAGCCAAGAGCTCTAGATACAGTTCAAGAGCAGAATATTATGAGAAGAATAACAAAAACTGAAATTGTAATTGATGTTAAAAAATAACATCATGAATTAAATATTAGTGCTCAAACAGGAATATGTTGAAATGTAATGGATTAAGAGCAGCAGTTGCAGAAAAAAGTTGTTACTAATAAAGAACTTGCAGGAACATCATTTCATGTGAGCAAATTGTCATTGCTCCACCTCCTGCACTGTGCTGTTCGTGGAGGTGCCTATAGTTTGGCTTGCATCTGAATGTTTATCATGTTTAGAAGATGGCAAAATATGCTCTTACTTTCCTGGCTCTGTTATACATCAAAGAGAAACTATTGGAACATGTTTACTCAGGACATTAGAACATTTTTGAACTCGGGGAACATTGAAAGGTCAAGAAATGCAAAAAAAAAAAAAAAAATATTTGAGGTTTTAACTATATGGATGTATATGGTGTGTGGGGGGGCATGACTTTGTTCACCCAATTTGAAGCTTAATAATTCTCATGATTTTTGTAAAAAATTTCTGAAATTTTGCAGGGAGATTTGTATCTTAGGAGTATCAATGCTATTAAATTTTGGTGGTTAAAGGTCAAGAAGATCATGGAACATATCTCAAGAAGGGTTGAAATTAATGAAGATTTTACTCATTATTAACATTTACAACTTTTTTATAAAATTCATCTCTACCCTCAAAATTAAGTCTTTTGCCTTTTTATAATAACTAAAAATATAAAAAATTTTTATAACAAAATCTTATAAATAATGGTGCCCCCACACATTTATTTATGTTTAATAATATAAAATTTATTTTTTAATTAAGATATTATAACAGCTGGGAAAGTTATGCAACTTGTTGCAGGACTTTTTTACTAGGTTATTTAACAACTCTTACTAATCAAGATGCTGACTGGTACAGAAGTAAAATTTCAATGTATAGTGGAGTTGATACATATGACGATGGCTTGAATTCATTCTTAGAGGATGATAGTTCATGACTAGAAATAGAATATGATGACACCTTGTCTTAATAACCCAATTTTTAATTCTTAAGCATACAAATCACTTAAAGCTCAATTTTGTACCAAGTGGCCGAGTTTATCCAAAGACTTTGGTAAAGAGCTCTTCAGAACACGGTTTTCCTAGCAAGAGAAATTTAAGTACATTAATACAAATTATGACACTTGATCATTCTATCATTGTACTGACTAAAAATGAACATTTCAGGATAGTTTTATTGACCACTGCATGGCATCACTTATAAGGGCAGTGTGGTATTTTTTTTTTTTTTATAATTGTCAAATTTGTTTTATTCAGTTTTAAAATTTATTTACACCATAGCTCTTCATTAGGTGAACCACTCAAAATTTAAATTTATGCTTTCTCCCAGAGTTTAGAGTTTGGTTACTCTGTCATGTATCAGGTGAGGTTAAAAGGGAATGGAAATGTCACAAAAATGCATTGGGCAAAACACAATATGTACTGTACATCCAGGACTCCAATACATCACATTTAAGTTGTATATAAACACAGGGAACCTAAATTTACAAAGAAATATAAAAATGGACAGTGGATGATTGGAAATGTGTAATTTTCTCAAATGAAATAAAAATTAACCATTTAGGGAGTGATGAATGCAAATGGTGTTGAAAAAATAAAAATCATAGTTACAGTTTTATCATGTGATACCTATTATAAAACATTGAGGGTACATTAATGATATGGAGTTGTATAACTGCATACAGACCTGGAAATCTTGGTTGAATTGATGGTAGAATGGATTCCCAGTTACATTGTGATATTTTGAAGCATGACTTGGTGAATACATTACAATTGTATAAACTAAAACAAAAAAGTATTATTTTTCAACAGGATAATGATCATAACTAAACATATGGCTAAATGCACTAAAGCCTTGCTTCAGCAGTTGAATATTAAACTTATGGATTGGCCCCTCATTCCCCAGATTTATATCCAATTGAAAATCTGTGGACCAATTCAAACATGTGCCTTAAATGATTTTCCTAATCCAGCTAGCAGCATTCATGAACTATTGGAAAGAGCTGAGATAGTTTGGAAAAAATAAGATAGCTGTCTAAAATTAACTGACAGCATGCCTCAAAGAATTAGTGAGGTACTGTAGGCTAAAAGTGGCTATACACACCATTAAGTGAAGATTTGAACATTTTTTTTGCCTATTAAAACAAGAAACAAAATTATTGTTCACAAAACAAACTACTCACTACACCTCAATAATAATCACATACACAGAACCAATTTACAGTGTGGTACGACAAAAAATATTCCTCCCTAACACCGCACTATATAGCAGATATATTGACGACATTATTATTTTTTGGAAAATTGTGCCTGATATAACAGCCTTAGTAGATTCTTTTAATAATAACCCATATGGGTTGACGCTAGAATTAGAACAATCTGACCCCACCGAGGTCCATTTCCTAGATATAAATATTATGTTAGAAAACGATGGCATCAGCACTGCGGTTTATCATAAACCAGGATCTATGTCGTCGTACATCCCAGTGGGATCATGCGATCCAGTTCCCTACAAGACTGCGGCATTTAAAGCCTTAATCAGAAGAGCCTTCACACATTCTTCTAACATTCAGGCTAGCGTCTATACAGCAAGTAGCCACAGAACATGGGTATAGCAAAGTTATACATAAGATGGTACAGCATTATAGCCGGATATATGCAGACAGCGCATGGCTTGTGGACCAACACAATGATAACCAACTGGAAGACATAGAACATATCCCCATCACCTATAACCCATACCTAAGATCTATATATGCTAAGATCGCCAGGAAGCACCAAATAAGTATTGCGTACAGGAGGTGTCCCACCATTTTTAACATCTTAAATAATAAGAAGGACCCTCCTAACCCCAGCAGAAGACCCGGAGTCTATAGTGTCCCTTTGAGAGACAACAGATTCAATAGGGATTTAGTATATATAGGCTCTACTAAAAGGTCCGTAGGCATCAGAATGCAAGAACATCAGGCCAATATTCGTCACGGGAGAACCAACACGGCCCTTGCAACGTACGTAATGGACCCGTAAATAGTTGCCGACTTTACTCGGGCCAATCTCCTCCTAGGTGCACCTCCCAATGATAATCTCAAATGGTTAGAGGCGATGCACATCTTTAAAGCCTCTATCGAAACTACGTGCATAAATTTTAAAGAGGAGATGCTTTTGTCGATGGCCTGGCAAGAGTTGATTCACAACACGATTTAGCCGCCCGTTATATCCGAGTAGGCAGACTTGGCTCGCATGCGCGTCATATAATTTTAAAAGAATGATTCAAACTCAAGATCGAACTTATTTGAACGACATTCGTTATTCGAATTTACGAGCTAAAACTGTAGGAACCTGATGAAGAGCCCAGAAGGGTTCAAAAACGTTTCTTTTTCGTTATTTTTCGTCGTACCACACCGTAAATTGGTTCTGTGTATGTGATTATTATTGTTCACATATTAAACAATAGCTTTTTTTGCCATCTTTTCAGCATTTGTTAATATTTTAAAAATATTCCGGGGTTTTTGAGAACTGCAAAGTGTTGTAACTAAATTTTTTTTACAAATTTTTACGTTTAAGCTAATAGAAGTGTTTATTAAATCAATAAACTAATTATTGTAAAAGTATGTGAACATTTTTTTTGAGATTATGTTACATATAAAAAATAAAATAAAACTGTTGATTGTGATATAATTTAAGAATAAAATTTTTTATTTGATATAGTTTGTTTTTCTTACTCTGTTTAATTAAATTTTCAATTTAAGAGAATAAATGTTTACATAAAATGAAGCAGAACATTTTCATTAAAAATGTATAATTCAATATGCACATGTAATTTTGTAAAGCATTTCAATTACCTTCATAAGAAATTTTTTAAAACAAAAATGCAAAACTATTTTTAAAAGATAAAACTTTAAAATGTTTATTCTGGTTCCAAGAAATATTGCAATTAAAATTAGAGTAACAATCCTTAATTTAAGATAAATTTAAATGATTACAAATATTAAACAACTTAAAATAAAATTATTTTTTATGCACAATGAAATATTAATCATCATCATCATCATCTATACTTAAAAAGTATTAAATCTTATCAACACTGTGTTTTTTATAATATATAAATTTAAATTAACTTAACAACAAAATAATAAAATTGATGTTACACAATTTATTTTTAATATTTACAATATTTTCTACATTCCAAATATAAACCTATTACTCCCGTCTATATAGTTTTAAATCAATAAAATTTTGATATTGATGAGAGAAGATATTTATTGATTATTATTATTATGATTTAAACTCATACTATATAATAAAACAATCTCCTCTAAATCATTACTAAAATATATTTGTGTTGCACAATGACCAGAAAAAAAGCCATTTTGATTATTTTTACAGGAATATGGCTAATACATAATAAAATGTAAGATAAAATAAAATATTTGATGATTAAGACTGATTATTTGAAGCTGCAGTATATGATGGTGGAATATATACTGGAATATGGGGTGGCATTTTTGTAGCAGTAATATAGTCGGGAGGTAATAGAGCCTGAAAAAGCAAGTTATAAAAAGTTTAGTATAAAATTTTATTTCAAAACAAATTTTATCTTCTAAATATTGACATATTAGTCAAATTTAATTTATATAAGTTTTAATATTATCCCAATATCTTAATACTGTATTTTAATGTGTACTGTACATACATACACATGTATATATAAACAAGAAATATTAGGTTAATAAGTGAAATTTCCACATAAGTAATAAGGCAAATTTCCACAACAAATAGTTGTCTGTGTGTGCTGGTGCAAAATACGATGCCTAAATTTTGTGTATAAAAATATCCGTCTGTGTGTTCTAGCCCTTTAAGAAACTAAAACTGGACATGTTTACTGTATGTAACTAAATTACTCAATAAAAACTAGATAAAAAGATTCTAACATTAGTAAATAAAAAATGTCTTATTCCATCACAATAATGTAAGACCACATTCTAGTTAAGTAGGACTAAGAAACTCAAGAATTTTTATTAAAAAATTGTGGCTCACTCACCATACTGTCCCAACATTGCTCCAACTTATAATCATCTTTTTTTCATGTTTATGATATTTTTTGAAAAAAAATTTGAAGATAAAAATAAAATTTATAAAACACTATCAGATTATTTAGCATCATATTAAGATCCTTTTATGAAAAATCAATTAAAAATTTACTCATAACATGACAAATCACTCTTAATTCTTTTCGTCCGATGGTTCTTTTAATTTAATATTTTAAGACAAAGTTCACCCAAACTGGGACCATCATTTATTAGTTCTGTGTTTCAGACAATACAATTCCGGCGACCAACCTTCCTTTTTAGGCTACTAGCCGCCAAAAACACTAAAAATTGTATTGTCTGAAACACAGAACTAATAAATGATGGTCCCAGTTTGGGCAAACTTTGTCTTAAAATATTAAATTAAAAGAACCATTGGAAGAAAAGAATTAAGAATCATAATCGTAAAGTATCGTCACCAGGGAGAAGCTATTCTAATCTACATTGTGTGGTTGCAACCTTCTGCCTTACACATGTTCGTATTTTTTTTTTTTTGTTTGCCTTTTTGGCTACTTTTCAGCTGTGGAGAAAGAGGGTTGGCAACCCGGGAAAGGTAGAAGGGGGGTATTTAAGGACATCGGCGGAAGAAAGCGGGGTCTTACCCTGTGGAGACAGAGAGGAGTCAGCAAAGGTGGAAGTGCTCCTTCAAGTGTGGACTTGCTTTTTGGTGTGTTCCTGAATTAGATTGTATTACAATGAGTGTAACCGCTAGGACTAGAATATTGTAACGGTGAGAATTTGTTTCTTTGTGCAAATTTGTATCTTGTGAACTGTTGTTATAATTGTATCTTGTGAACCGTCGTTATATTTGTATAAATATATATATTTGGTCATATTTCTATAAATGTATTTCCAACTGGTTTCTTTGTCTCTCTTCCCCCACGTGGTAATCCACCTAACTCACAATTAGTGAGACCAATAGGTCTTACCATTTTCCACAACATTCTCCAGCGCTTACTTTTAGTGGATAAAAAGCTGAAACACCCCAAAAAGGTTAGATGGATCAAGAAGACATTCGTATGTCACCAGTTCCTATTTTAGAAAAATTTTATATTTTTTAATTGGAAAATTTTGTGTTTTTTAAGGACTTTTTAGCATTTTTGGCAGTTAGTAGCTTAAAAAGGAAGATCAGTCGCCAGAACTGTATTGTCTGAAACACAGAACTAATAAATGGTGGTCCCAGTTTGGACAAACTTTGTCTTAAAATATTAAATGGCAAATCACTGTTGGTAATAGCATTGAATATATAATTAATTAAATGAAACTGTCTTTTAAATTTTGTATTATTAAGTCAGTCCTTATGCATTTTATATGTAAACATGGAATAGGCTTTTATTTATAGAGTCATCTATATTATGAATTATAATATAACATATTTTGTAATTTAGTTTTCTTTACGCAAAACTAAGAAATTTAAGAAATGTAAATAGAATTGGATGTTCAAAAATATTTTTCAGATTTCTGAATAAACCTGTTTTCTAGAAAAATAAAAGAAAAGTGAAAAAAAAAACATCTCACTGGAAAACAAAGAATTTCTCAGTATTTATGGTATTATTTTCTGATAAGAATTTAAATGGCATAGAAATATTTAAATTATAACTAAGGACCAGATTTGTATGCAAATGTACATGTTTTAAATGCTGTAATATAGAATGGTGCTATATTATGACTATGATGATTAAATGCTATGATATGGAAATCTCAATATAAACACAATTTGGGTTCAAGTAGATCAAATTAAGGTTGTACAGTACAATAATACATATAAAATATGCATTTATGATTTTTACTGCATATTTTGCAGATTTGACCATTTTCAAGACTAAATAAGTGCTTTATAAAATTTGTAGTTTGTTTGCATGATTGCATGTGCAATTATTTCAAATGATCTATAGTCTGCTTCCGCTGTTTGTGCAGTGAATCTTTTTTGCATATGTACAGTTTATGTAAAATCTATCACTTTGTCATCCAATTACAAGTGAGTGCATGAAATTCAAATGTTTTAAAATTGAACTATGTAACTTGCATTCTTTTAAATTTGCATGTGATATATATTAAATATGGATAATGAATTATATTTTTCAATCTGTAACTCTATTGATATAATTTTTAATAGAATTGTTTCGTCTTTCATTAGATATATCAAAATAATAACTTTTTAATTAATTTAAAAAACTTAGTTTAATAAAGTAGATTTAAAACTTAGAAAATGTAATATAAAAACCATTATGTCTGTTTTTGTCATTATTTTCTAAATATAATGATAAAAATGTATTCTGCACATTTCANAGCAAGTTATAAAAAGTTTAGTATAAAATTTTATTTCAAAACAAATTTTATCTTCTAAATATTGACATATTAGTCAAATTTAATTTATATAAGTTTTAATATTATCCCAATATCTTAATACTGTATTTTAATGTGTACTGTACATACATACACATGTATATATAAACAAGAAATATTAGGTTAATAAGTGAAATTTCCACATAAGTAATAAGGCAAATTTCCACAACAAATAGTTGTCTGTGTGTGCTGGTGCAAAATACGATGCCTAAATTTTGTGTATAAAAATATCCGTCTGTGTGTTCTAGCCCTTTAAGAAACTAAAACTGGACATATTTACTGTATGTAACTAAATTACTCAATAAAAACTAGATAAAAAGATTCTAACATTAGTAAATAAAAAATGTCTTATTCCATCACAATAATGTAAGACCACATTCTAGTTAAGTAGGACTAAGAAACTCAAGAATTTTTATTAAAAAGTTGTGGCTCACTCACCATACTGTCCCAACATTGCTCCAACTTATAATCATCTTTTTTTCATGTTTATGATATTTTTTGAAAAAAAATTTGAAGATAAAAATAAAATTTATAAAACACTATCAGATTATTTAGCATCATATTAAGATCCTTTTATGAAAAATAAATTAAAAATTTTCTCATAACATGGCAAATCACTCTTAATTCTTTTCGTCCAATGGTTCTTTTAATTTAATATTTTAAGACAAAGTTCAACCAAACTAAGACCATCATTTATTAGTTCTGTGTTTTAGACAATACAATTCCGGCAACTGACCTTCCTTTTTAGGCTACTAGCCGCCAAAAACGCTAAAAATTGTATTGTCTGAAACACAGAACTAATAAATGATGGTCCCAGTTTGGACAAACTTTGTCTTAAAATATTAAATTAAAAGAACCATTGGAAGAAAATAATTAAGAATCATAATTGTAAAGTATTGTCATCAGGGGGAAGCTATTCTAATCAACATTCTCCAGTGCTTACTTTTAGTGGATAAAAAGCTGAAACACCCCAAAAAGGTTAGATGGATCAAGAAGACATTCGTATGTCACCAGCTCCTTTTTTAGAAAAATTTTATATTTTTTAATTGGAAAATTTTGTGTTTTTTAAGGACTTTTCAGCATTTTTGGCAGCTAGTAGCTTAAAAAGGAAGGTCGGTTGCTGGAACTGTATTGTCTGAAACACAGAACTAATAAATGATGGTCCCAGTTTGGGCAAACTTTGTCTTAAAATATTAAATGGCAAATCACTGTTGCCATTTAATATTTTGTATTTATTTAGTATTTTGGTAATAACATTGAATATACAATTAATTAAATAAAACTGTTTTTTAAATTTTGTATTATTAGGTCAGTTCTTATGCATTTTATGTATAAACATGGAACAGGCTTTTATTTATAGAGTCATCTATATTATGAATTATAATATAACATATTTTGTAATTTAGTTTTCTTTACGCAAAACTAAGAAATTTAAGAAATGTAAATAGAATTGGATGTTCAAAAATATTTTTCAGGTTTCTGAATAAACCTGTTTTCTAGAAAAATAAGAGTGGAAAAAAAAAATCTCACTGGAAAACAAAGAATTTCTCAGTATTTATGGTATTATTTTCTGATAAGAATTTAAATGGCATAGAAATATTTAAATTATAACTAAGGACCAGATTTGTATGCAAATGTACATGTTTTAAATGCTGTAATATAGAATGGTGCTATATTATGACTATGATGATTAAATGCTATGATATGGAAATCTCAATATAAACACAATTTGGGTTCAAGTAGATCAAATTAAGGTTGTACAATAATACATATAAAATTTGCATTTATGATTTTTACTGCATATTTTGCAATTTGACCATTTTCAAGACTAAATAAGTGTCTTATAAAATTTGTAGTTTGTTTGCATGATTGCAAGTGCAATTATTTCAAATGATCTATAGTCTGCTTCCGCTGTTTGTGCAGTGAATCGTTTTTGCATATGTACAGTTTATGTAAAATCTATCACTTTGTCATCCAATTACAAATGAGTGCATGAAATTCAAATGTTTTAAAATTGAATTATGTAACTTGCATTCTTTTAAATTTGCATGTGATATATATTAAATATGGATAATGAATTATATTTTTCAATCTGTAACTCTATTGATATAATTTTTAATAGAATTGTTTCGTCTTTCATTAGATATATCAAAATAATAACTTTTTAATTAATTTAAAAAACTTAGTTTAATAAAGTAGATTTAAAACTTAGAAATTGTAATATGAAAACCATTATGTCTGTTTTTGACATTATTTTCTAAATATAATGATAAAAATGTATTCTGCACATTTCAAATGTACACAGCACTTTCACAAGTACTTCTGCATTACAAATTATGCAATAAAAAACATCTTATTCAATTGCTTTGTAATATTCTGAATGTTTAATTTCCTTCTTTTGTGAAAAAAACTGATGTCAGAAATAGTCTAGTTTCTAGATTTATACTTATGTGAAAAATTGTGAAAATCAAAATGCCACTCTATTGTAAGCACTAAACAAAATACATGATTTTATAATCATAATTTAGATAGATATAATCGATCATAATTTAAAATATTCTAATCCAAATACATAATATTGTTAATATTTCTAATATTTAATATAAAACATATATAAAATGCTTACAGAACAATGACATTACAATGTTATAAAGTATAATGAAATAATGTGTAAACTAGTAATAATATAAAATTTAATCAATACTTTCTACTATTAATTATTATGCTATGTAATCTAAAATAGTTAAAATATTTACAATATTGTCAAACATATTCACCAAATAAACTAATCTAGTTGACACTTATTAAAAATGTGTTGTGAATCAAGAATAAAAATTATTAGCTAAAATTTACCTCAACCTCAGTTTCAAGATATGCATCAACTGAACTTGACAGTTGAAGTGTCAAGTATTTGCGACAAGACCACACGATATTCATGAAATATACCTAAATTATTTGGTGAAATAAAATAAAAAAAGTATTTAGATGATTTTTCTAAGTTATTTAAACATTATATTTGATTAAATATAAAACATTGACTTATCCTAGTAAAGAGTAAAGGACAAAACTGCATTAGAATATAGTATTTTGTAAAAGTAATAAAAATAAAAAAATAAATATCCTANCAAACATATTCACCAAATAAACTAATCTAGTTGACACTTATTAAAAATGTGTTGTGAATCAAGAATAAAAATTATTAGCTAAAATTTACCTCAACATCAGTTTCAAGATATGCATCAACTGAACTTGCCAGCTGTTGTTGAAGTTTCAAGTATTTGTGACAAGACCACACGATATTCATAAAATATACCTAAATTATTTGATGAAATAAAAAAAAAGTATTTAGATAATTTTTCTAAGTTGTTTAAACATTATATTTGATTAAATATAAAACATTGACTTATCCTAGTAAAGAGTAAAAGACAAAACTGCATTAGAATATAGTATTTTGTAAAAGTAATAAAAATAAAAAAATAAATATCCTAAAACCTTGGCTACAGGTTGCTCTCATGCATAAACCGTAAAAATGAAAGCTGTAAAAGAATACAGAAAATACAAGGTCTGTTCAAAAAGTATCGGACCTTTTTTTTTTCTGCGTAAACCAATGATGCGCGACAGGCCTCCTTCGGTGGAGTTGTGGTCCTCGCATGAGAGTTCATCCAAATTTCATTGCAAAACATTAAATACTTTTTGAAATATCGCAAGTTTAAAAATTTAAAGAAGTTTTCCACTGAACCAAGCTTCAGACTTTCATCGATAACGGTCATTGACCTCAGCTCGTGCAACGGATTTTACAACGGTNATTATATTTGATTAAATATAAAACATTGACTTATCCTAGTAAAGAGTAAAAGACAAAACTGCATTAGAATATAGTATTTTGTAAAAGTAATAAAATAAATATCCTAAAACCTTGGCTACAGGTTGCTCTCATGCAAAACCATAAAAATGAAAGCTGTAAAAGAATACAGAAAATACTTGTAGAAAAACTGGAAATTAATATACCAATCACACTACACACTTTTCTAGTACTAGTTTGATCAAAACAAATGTTTGTGATCCATTCACAGGTCTGCCTCAGGTTAGAAATGTATTAAAATACAAATTTTAAAAATAATTTGTATTTTAATAAATTTTTACTTGAGGCAGACCTCTGAATGGGGTCAAAACGTTTGTTTTGATTAAATTAGCACTGGAAAAGTGTGTAAGATATAGTGTGATTGCTATAAAAAATGCTTTTTGTACAAAGTAGATTTTTGTAAACAGATTTTATATAAATAATTTTATTGTCATAGCATGTATAAAAGATAACTTTATAGCTTATAAAATATACTTTAATTGAGTTATCAGATCAGCTTGCAAATGATTAGACATTTTAAATTTATTGTACTGTAAATCATTACAGTCTGTAGTGTTTATTTTATTATGTTATTTTTCATTGATGAAATTAATGCTAATTAATTACACTAATTATAATTAATTAATTTTGTACATATTATCTCCTAAGATGAATAGTACCCCTAGTTCTAAATTTTCAATTAAAAAAGTGATAAAAATACTTAAAAATGTAAAAAATTCTATAAATTAATAAATAAAACTATGTTTCACAATATACTTTTNCCAAAGAAATCATGTCTCATCAAATTCAAGGAAAAAGGTGATGCTCATTGCATTTTTTGACATAAATGGTGTGGTGCTTGAGTTTGTACCTCCTGGACAGAGTGTTACTGGTCATTTCTACATGTAAGTTTTACATAGATTTGTGAGAGTCGAAGGGTAATTAAAACTAATACCTGATTAATTGAGAAAGTTAGAAAAACCCGTTTTTCTCACTCCCTCATATTTTCGTTGAATGCATATCTGAGAGATAAACAGAGGATCAAATCTCATCATGAATCAACAATGTTTACAATGTTTTGAGTAGGTCCTGGGAGTAAATCCAAACATATAATTATTAATGATAGAAAACTGTCAAAAGAATGAAATTATGAGGTAAGACGAATCACACCAACAGCTAGAAAGTATCAATAATTCAGCCGAATCACACCAACAGCTAGAAAGTATCAATAATTCAGCCAAATCGTCCAGTTCCCAACAGCTCGTCAGGACACAGCACAAACTTATACCATATTAAATCAAAGTCACCTGACTTTTCTCCCATGCTCAAAGATAGAAGGAGCTCAAACTCGAGCCTCAGAGTGGACACTCTCCTAGAAGCTATAGACTAAGGCTCATTCGTCAACCCTCGCCCGCTCCCATCTCCAGTCTCTCTCTGCCAAGATGATTCCAGAGTGTTTCGTGAACTTCACAAGTGAGACTGACTACAGACGTCCCATCATACTCCAAAAGGATGGAGGACTACTTGCCACACCTACTGACTGCCGATCCTGGTGCATTTTGCCAATGTCCCATACAACAGGATCTGGAACTATCGGTCTAAGAGGTATATTACTTAAGGAAATGTAAACTTTCTCTCTTGGTCAATTAGCCTATAAGGACGTAGATATAAGGCTTTAATGTCTATGTCTATCCAATACAGTTGTATGGACTGAATAGTAAAACTACCGGCACATAGAAATAGTCCCGGACATTATGTTACCTATGAAAGGTAGAATAACCTGTAGTGAATTAGCTTATTGTATCAAATGCTTATGTATTAAGTTCATAAATTGTTATTTTTGTTGTTTAACCTGCTCCCGTGTGAACTTATTAGGTGCCAATGCCCTATCAACAGACTTATCACCCCTCTGTCACTCAGGTCAACCATCCATTGACAAAGTGAGAGGTCTTCACCAGACTGTTACCAGTTCAAGAGGGTTTAAACCAGTATCCACCAACCCCCAGTTTCTTACAGATTATAAAATTCAATTCAGAGGAAATTAGCACAGCAATGGCAGGGAAGGCATTTAAGTGGGAAGAGATTACTTTAGAGGACAAAATAAATTTTGATGAATAAATTCAAAACTTGTGTTTTATTGAACCATTTCCGATACTTTTTGATAACAGGAGTATTTTGTTATTTTTCAACTTTAATTCTAATTTTTTTTTCTAAATTTGCATTTTATTTTATTCTAAATTATGTTAATTATATACACAAAACTACAAATGCTCCTTGTCTTACATTACCATACAATCTCACTAGTAATTGTTTCCTAATGTAATGCTTTTGAAAAGCAGTTTAAAGATATAAAAGTTTATGGCAGGGGTGTCCAACCCGCGGCCCGCAAGCCGCATGCGGCCCAAGGCAATTTCCAATGCGGCCCAATAAACGTGTAAACAAAACCGACAAATGTTTTAATTTTTTATTATTTATTTATTTCAACGGCATAAACTGAAAAAAATTTCACAAAGCCATAAAACCTTTATTCATATTTTATTTTTGAGTGGAAAGAAAATATTTTCAAATACTGTACTTGGAGATGTGTGAATGCGGAAGGATTACTAAATAAAGCTGGAGTTGTGACTCAAAGGATTATAGACCCAAATTTGGGAAAAGGAGGGAAAGATGAGAAAGGACAAAAGATGTAGTAGTGAGAAACGTTAAATAGATCTTCTGTTAAGCAAATATGGACCCGTAATTTTTCAACCTTTTTCACTTCTTTATCTTTTGTCCTTTGCCTCTTTTTCCCCGCACTTGGGTCTATAATCCTTTGATTCACAACTCCAGCTTTATTTAGTATTTCTTCCAACGTTGCAAGATTTGGCTACATTGGGCCAAATGTGGCTACTTTTTTTTGTTTGACGTAAAAAATATCATTTGGCGCTTTGGCTACTTTTTCGGCTACATATTATTTATAATTATATTAATTGAATAAAAATGCACTTTAAAATGGTGTTTCGTCGCTTTTTATTAATTAGAGACCCAAATAAAACAAATATTTGTGTTTTTCAAATAAATTTTCTTTAGTCTCTTTTATAATAAATGAATTTATCTATTTCTAAGTAAAAATTGAAAGTGTCTGTAGAAGTAATTTTTTAAAATATCCTTTTTTCTTGATAAAGTTTTAATACTTATTATTATAATCTAGACATGTTAATTTTTAAATATACTTGTACATTGGGCCACAAGTATATATTATATATACTTGTGGCCCAAAACTCCTTACCTTCTTCCAGAGAAACAAAAAGGTTTGGACACCCCTGGTTTATGGCATGGATAGACAGGTAGAATATAATAACATTTTCAACTACTAGAATATCAATTTTATAATTTAAGTACTAAGCAATATAATTGCCTAATTCCTTTTTATTATCTTTAGAAAGAATAAAGCAATAAAAATGGTAAAGCTATACAGACCATACTATGCAATTTAGCTCATCTTATTATAAGATAAGGAGCAACTGTATGCTAATATTCCATAAAATATAGTTAATATAAATGATTTAATCTGAGATTTAAATAAATTGAAATAAAACTTTACTTACTTTTATAACTCCTAACAACAAAAGAACAGTTAGTGCTCCAGTACATGTTGTTATAACAATCCCAACTTGAACATCTTCTGTGAACATTAATAATTCTGATAGTTAATTTAATTATTTTAAAATTTACTTTATTAATATTAATTATAAAAACATTAAGTCTTAAATTTATAGATACTGATAAAGTAAACCATCTTAAGGCATTACACATTAAATGTATAACATCTAAAAATAGTTCAAGTTATCAATACAATTTCTACAGTGAATAATGGTGATATTTTTAAAGAATCAAAAAACATGCCTTTAAAAGATCCAGTAGTGAATTTAATAAAATAAAAACGTTTTTGATCAGTTTTACTGATGAAGATCAGTAAAACTGATGAAGTGGCATTTAAAGAACTGTTTTGTGGCATTTAAAGAACTAGTATATACTTATTTCAACAGAACTACCGTTAATTAGGTCAATTTGTCTCAATGGGCTGATGTTTTCTCGAATGTGTTTATCATTGATATAATATTTTGTATTATAATATTCTACGTTCATTTGTTAATAATACCCGATGTATGTTACCACGTATTTATGTAATCAACTCCTATGCAAATTTTTTATGTAAGTATTTGGCTACTCTGCAGTCAATAATTTGCCAAGTACATTAACTGAACTCTAAAACATATAGTTGTAATCTAACATATTCTTGTTATGTAACCTGTTTTACATGTAATATGCTTGTAAACATTCTGCTGCTAACCTCGGTGGTGCTTTGCGGAGCCGAGGCCGTCTTCAGAAATAAAGATTTATACAAAGTGAAAAAGTGAAATGATCTTCATCAGTTACAACAGAATAGAACACTAATACAAAAATTAAAAATTTTTAAAATGATAAAGAAGAATTCTATGATAAATATATAAATAAATAGTTGAGGTTAATCAAATAAATAATCACAGAAATAAATTAATTAAAAGTAAAATAACAATGAATAAATAAATATCGTCCAATAAAATTAATTTTCCTAAATGGACCGCCATGCTGTAGATGAATTGTCCACATCCCTATGGTTAATGCATGATGATTTTTTGTGCTCTTTATAGATTTCCAATTTCTACAGATATCCCATTGTGTGTATATTAGATGTTGGTCTGATGATATTTTTGCTTGCTCCCATTATACTTGTATATCTTGATGTTGCGAGTAAGCCACTAGTGTTACATTATTTAGATTTTTATCAATTGTGTACTTATGCTTCTTAAGTTGTTGTTGTAAATCACATGTAGTGGCACGCATGAAGAACAATTTTGATTTGAAATGCTGGTCAATTATCGGGTTTTGATTTGAAATGCTGGTCAATATTACAATGATGATGTTTTTGCCTGCTCCCGTTGTACTTGTATATCTTAATGTTGCAAGTAAGCTGCTAGTGCCATATATTTAGATTTTTATCAATTGTATACTTATGCTTCTTAAGTCGTTGTTTTAAATTATATTCCATCTTTAAGAAACATACATAAGAAAGCACCCAAAGCTAGTGATGTACTGATAGTATACTGACGCAACTCAACAATCTTCAGAATTTTAAGAAACCATATAACCGTAATTCATCCATGGAGATTTACTCCATCCCGATAATTGATTTCACCAGCATTTCAAATCAAAACTGTTCTTCATGCGTGCCACTACGTGTGATTTACAACAACTTAAGAAGCGTAAGTACACAATTGATAAAAATCTAAATAATGTAACACTAGTGGCTTACTCGCAACATCAAGATATACAAGTATAATGGGAGCAAGCAAAAATATCATCAGACCAACATCTAATATACACACAATGGGATATCTGTAGAAATTGGAAATCTATAAAGTGCACAAAAAATTGTCATGCATTAACCATAGGGATGTGGACAATTCATCTACAGTAGTGTTTTTCAACCTGTGGGTCACGACCCCCAAGGGGGTCGCCTAGCCATACACGGGGGGGGGTCGTGGATAAAAGAAAAAGACAAGTGTTTGTAGGTCCTACACTACAATAAAAAAACCTACAATTTCAGTGAGAAGGCTGTGCCTGTTTATTTTACAGTACAATTGGTGTTTTTATCAATATTTAAATCTCTACAGAAAGAAAATTAAATACGTACAGTAGTTTTTAAATCACTGACATAGTTTTATTATGGCCATGGAAGTTGCCAGAATTTTTTAACTTGTAAAGGGGTCGCGTATTCAAGAAGGTCGAAAAACACTGATCTACAGCATGGTGGTCCATTTAGGAAAATTAATTTTATTGGATGATATTTATTCATTTTTATTTTACTTTTAATTAATTTATTTCTGTGATTATTTATTTGATTAACCTCAACTATTTATTTACATATTTATCTTAGAATTCTTCTTATCATTTTTAAAATTTTTAATTTTAAAATTAAAAATTTTAAAAATGTTTTCAATCAATAAAACTGATTGAAAAATCAGTAAAACATTTTTAATCAGTAAAACTGATTGAAAACATTTTTATTTTATTAAATTCATTACTGGATCTTTTAAAGGCATGATGTTTTGATCTTTTTTTATCCAGTTTGTGTAAAATATATTTTTAAAGACTATTACGAGGCATATTCAGAAACTAAAGATGCTAGACTAGTAGAAATGTAAAAAAAATTATTTTGCCATTGTTTGCTGTACTGCCATGTCTGTTAGGGTCTGAGTTTTGTGATAGAAATCACTTGATGTTAACTGCAACATCATTATGTCTTCAGTGTGTGTTTAAAATGGCCCTGTCAATTTGTAATCTCACTAAGTGCAAGGTTCATTCAGTGATTTCATTTCTTTGTGAAAAAGAAGAATTTGCCTCTGAAATTCATAAACAATTTGTTTCCATTTATGGTGAGAACTTATTAGCAGGCAAAATGCAACAAAATTATGTCCTACTGCATGATAACACCTGTCTGCACACTACTACTCACATCACAGGACATTTGTTATAGCCATTCAAGTGGAAAAACTTAAAACATTAATAGCACAGTCCAGATCTTGCATCAAGTAATTATTACTTATTTTTGAAGTTGAAGGAATATCTCTCTGGAAAAAGTTTGATGGTAGTGACAAGGTTCAAGACACAGTAATGACATGGTTACAAGAGCAGGTAGTAATCTTACTCCCTGATAATGCCAGAAAACACAACAATTGCATGGCATGTGTGTGATTTTTCAGATCAAAGATGCTAGACCATTCATCTCACAATTCCTACTGACATTGAATGACTTTTCTCTTTTGATTTATGAAAAACACTTGCTAAGTATTTTGTAATCAAATGCAAATGATGAATTCCTGGCTCAATGATCTTAATGAAATTTCTTATAAATTGTGTTTGATGCTGCTGGTATCATACTAAAATAAACACTTAGAACAGCAACAATCATATTAACACTTTAAACACAAAATTGGCCTTATCCATTAAAAATGAAATTGACTGATTGAAAAACTTTTACACTAGTGTTTGCTATAAAAGTTCTTCTTGTAGCCTGAGAGATAAAAACAATTTAGCTATTAGCAAAAGATATTTCTGAAAATATGTATAAAAGTCAAAATATATAATTTAAATTAACATTTTTAATAGAAACTCTGCCTAATTTTATCATTAAATTACTTTAATATTTAATTCCTACTTTTAGTATAAAAATAGCAAGTTTTAGTTTAATTGAGTTTTTGTTATTACATTGCTGCATTGAAAATCTTTAAAATAAATAATTTTTATGTATTAATGTATGAGGGTTACCTTAACCACTCAGCAGTGAGAGATGGATATATCTGTTAAATTCTTTTGGGGGTATTGCCAAAAACTACCGCAAAAAAATTCACCTAAAAAACGAATTATGTAACAATAAAAA